TGTGCTTGCATGAGACATGTGAGATGCTGAACTGTGCCAGGGAAATGCCTGGGATGAGGTGTTATCCTGAGCCTGACAAGGGCATGCTGAGGCTGGGCAGGAGGAAAGCCCATGTGAGTACAGAAGGAAGGACACGCTTTAATTGCAGCCATTTACCTGCACATCAGGAGCAGGAAACGTGCATCATCCTCAGGTCACAGTTCTGCCTTGCAGGAACAGCTTTCATCACCTGGCCCCAGTGTTTCCCCAAGAGTTAAAAACCATGACCTGCTGGGACATGTCTGAAGCCTCCAGAGGTGAAGGCAAGACCAGGGTTGGGGTGGAGACACCCACACCCCTTGCCACTGCAGTGCTCCACAGGGCACGGCTCTGGCGAGGGCTCCTCACCCCCACGCTGCTTGTTTGTGCTGCTGGGGGAGGGTGCACAGGCTGTGCACTCTGTGGGTGCTCCCCTGCTCCTGCTGGGTCCTGCAGGGGTGGACCTGCCCCGTGTCCAGCCTTCCCAGGTGCTCCATGATGGGATATCATGGCTGCGATGGAGGCTGCACTAACCTGGTGCACAAGAAGGAAGGGGTCCTCTGCATTTAGAGGAGGAAGTCTTTGTGTGCAGCTCCTAAACTCCATCTGGCTTTGGGACTGGACCTCAGGGTGCTCCTCTCCCGTGTGAGAGCCTGTCAGGCTGGGTGCTGCGGGGGCAATTTGTGCAGGAGTCTTCTCTGCAGACGCCGACACAGTTTGCGTCTGAGATAAGCGCTGAGCTGTAAATGCACAGAGAGGAACAGAGAACTTCTGGGAATTTTAGACATCTGGAGAACTTTAATGTAGAAAACACAGATGTTTAGAGATGCTTTCTGCAGAGTCATGAAGGTTTGAAGATCATAATTTTGTGCTTGGGCATCTAAGTCCTTTTGCAGATTTCTTGGCTCTGCAGTTCGCTTCTGCAGTGGCAGAGGAATGATTTGGGCTAGGGCAGCATGCAAGCTTCTCAGGATAAATGGGCTTGCTACATCCACATGAAAGAAATCTCTCTCTGTCTCACTTTTCTGTAATTAAAATTAACATATTAATAAGTACAGAGGTGTTGGAAAGATCATTAATGTGTGGCCAAAATCTCAGAGTTTCGTGTGAAGTTGCACAGGATTTCAAAGTACTGTTACTGTCAGTTTATCACTCATTATAATAATTCTATTAATTAATGTTCTTTTTTAGTGTTGTCTGGCAGATTTTCTATGTCTAATACTGAACAATAATAGCAACAGTACTTCCCTTGTTATTTTGCACAAGAGGAATTCTCACTATTTGATCACCAGTGGGACAAATAAAATAATAATGGGATATTCCAACAAGAGGTAATGTGTGCAACTTCCTTGATCTGAATAAATTATGCTGAGCAAAGAAACTCCTCCAACAATTCCAGTGAGCAGTAGGAGGAGCAGAGTAGGGAAGACATAACCTGGTTCCAAATGGGAATTTGGAGTTCATGCTATCCCTTTGCCATTTTGTTACAATACTGCCTTTTGCTTCAAAAAGAGACTTAGATAGGATATCTTCAAAATGCTACTCATTAATTAGGTAAACACTCTAAGCTCTCTTTTCCTCCTGAGTCCAGGGGAGCTGAGAGCAACAGCCTCCCTGTACATGGTGAGAGGTGATTTACTGTAGCCCCAACATAAGAGGTATTTTCTGGGACTGCAGCACACAGACATGCCATTGATAATTCTGCCTTTGTTTTGATTGCTTCCAACTGCAGAATGAGGGAGACTTAATTGGCAGAAATTACCTCATTCCTGCCTTGATTAAGGCCTCCATATGTGTTTTATAAATAAAGTAGTCTTTTCGATTGTTTTATCACTTGGAGGTTTCAGCAGACTAAATATGATTTATGGTGTTTTGCCTCTTTCCCCAAATGGGAATCACTTCTGACCATCTACCCTGCTTGTGGCTGCAGGCACTGGCACACCAAGAGCTGGTGGCTGGAGGTGGCTGGGCACCCTCCAACCCTCCCTGGGGTGTTTGCCCAGCCCAGGGCTCAGCTGAGGGCAGGGTCCCCATGGGGTTTGTGTAGGGAAGCTGGCAGCACGGCCTCGTCCCCCAGGCATGACTGAACAGGGCTGTGTGTTCTCAGTGCTGCTCTCTGTGTCAGGTTCCTTGGTGGCACGGCCAGGGCTTGCCCTGACAGTGCTCCTGGGCGATGCTGGCATTGGCTGCTGGCTGAATTCCTCTGCTCCCTTTCTTATTGTATTATAAGAAAGGAATAAAGCAAATATATATATGTATATCAGGCTTTCATAACTATTTGGGCTGCAGTGTACAGCCTCCTGCAGCTTTGGCAAAGGCTCTTGGAGGGAGCACCAAGGGGCATCTCCATCCCATTGAGCTGCTGGATTATCCCCCTTCATGCCTGAGGGAGGTGGCTGAAGATGAGCTTCATCATGGGACCTCACCTTCCATTTAGTCCTGTCATATATCATCATATCATCATATCATCATGTCATCATAATCATATCATATCATATCATATCATATAAATCATATCATATCAAATCATATAATATCAATCATCATAAAATATTTTGTGCTTATCTCATTCCAACTCCCACAGACAGAGACAGCTTCCACTATTCCAGGTTGCTCCAAGTCCTGACCAGCCTGGCCTTGAGCACTTCCAGGTGTGGGGCAGCCACAGCTTCTCTGGGCAGCCTGTGCCAGAGTCCACCACCCTCACAGGGAAGAATTTCTTCCTAATAGAAATAACAACAACAACAACAACAACAACCATCATCATCATCACCATCACCATCACCATCATCATCATCATCATCCTCCCAAATCTATCCCATGTGAATTCATAGTCAGATGTGGAATGATGAGGAGTGACTGAATGATGCTGAGGCTGGTGCTGAGCTCTGAGATCTGGAATAATGCTTTAAAAATAGTTTTGTAGGCAAACAGCAATGGAAAGAATGGAAATAAAATTGAGGCCTCGTGTACCAAATACACTGCTTACTCCACTCCACATAGTTTCAAGCCTCTTTGTTTTCAAGTAGCCGTATTTCTTAATCCAAGCTTTCCGAAATCATGAGTTTGGCTTAAAATTAGAGCTGAAAATGTGTCGTATCAGGTTCTTTTATTTGCTCTCAGAAGGCTGAACATTTTGCATTCATGTGCCTTTCAGGAAAGCTGGATATGTGTTAAATTAAAAAAAAAAAAAAAAAAAAAAAAAAGCTTAAATTGTTGGGTTAAAAATTGATCCAAGCTCTAAATCACTAGTAAATGCAGATGACTCATGATAAAATGATGAGAATTGAAAATACTGTTAGACATTTACAGAGATAAGGAGAAGAGGTATATTTAGTGGGATTTTTGTGTCTTAGCATTTGGTATTCTGAACTGTCTAGAGAGAAACATGCTGATTTCCTTGGATTACTTGATCATGGTTCACTGAGTTCAGGTTTTCTTTCTTTTTTTTTGCTGCTAATTCAGTAACAGTGAATATCCTTGTGAATGAATTCATGCAGCTAAGCCCATTTTAGAAGAGAAGGATGTTTTTTCTAACAAAGATAATTTCCTGTCTGAAGTGCAGGAAAAAAATCCAAAAAAAAAAAAAAATTTGATTAAAAAAAAAAAAAAAAAAAAAAAAAAAAAAAAAAAAAAAAAAAAAAAAAAAAAAAAAAACAACCCAAAACCAAGTGAAAAAAAATTGGCCTAAACAGCTGGATGAAAAAATTCCAAATAACACAAGTTGGGGGTTTGTGCCAGATTGGATGTGGCTCAGTGACAAAGCTGGAATTTAAAGCCATCACATGAAGCAGCCAGGGGGGCCGAGGAAGAATTCAGATGGGTGCAGCACAGACTATTTCTGCTTTTCAACTACAGGATGCTTCAGATAATAAAAATTATGTCTTCATCCTGTCAGCAGCTCTGCTGTGGAAGGTGCTGCTCCTGTCACAGCTCAAGGCCATTTGTTTTGGAAATGGGGGATCCATAGGAAGGATTAATGGCAGAGTGAGGACATTCTACAGAAGCCACCGAGGAGGGACAGCACAGGTGGTTTAACACCTTTCCTCCCTGGGAAAACCCATCAGTGCTGGGCAGCCTGGCAGACAGGCTTCTGCTCAGGGTCCTCTTAAGGACTGCTGAGGTGACAGAGCCAAAAAGAGCCATTGCTGTGTACAGCAGTCAGCACCTGCAGTCAGCAGCTGTGACAAGTGACATGGGAAGGGTTTCCCTAATGGGAGCAGCAGAGGCTCTGCACTCCAGCTTTCCATGTGCTTCCTAGAGCAAGGAATGCAGGAGGGAGCTGCTGGCATTGAATGTAATCCTTCCTTTGTGTCTGGTGGGGAGAGAAGCCCTGTGCTATTTCTGTGCTGATGGCATAGCCACAGGAAGATTGTTTGGGTTTTGTGTCCCCATCCTTTAAAGGAATGTCCCTGTGTGAAAACCCAGGGTCCATGTGTGACCAGAAAGGTTTTGATTTGAGATGAAATGAAGCATGCTCCTGCCCTGCTGAGGTGGGAAGGGAAAAGCATCTAGAGAAAACTCTGCTTTTGCCTCTTTTGGAAGTTACAACAGTAGCTTCCCAGCAAATATTTCAGGGTGATGTTTGAGCTGTGTGCTTTCCTGGATCACAATTCCAGACACCACCAAAGAGCCCTAGCTGGAATTTTGCTTCTGCATAGCAGGGGCTGGTGCCAGGGTGAGTAAAGGAGCTCTCCTGAAAACCCCATGGACACAGACGTTCACAGATGATCCTTCACTGAGGACTGAAGCAATCTGCTGCTGTTTCCAAACTGGCCTCTCAGTCCTCTCCTGGATGCTCAGCCAGAGAAGCACTGGTGCTCCTGGACCAGCCCAGAGCAGTGCTTGCAGTGTGTACTGGGGGCACCTGGCAGAGTGAAAAGCTCCCTGGAATGCCAGTCCTCAGCAGTGCAGGGAGGGGAGGGCTGCTGGCACGGGGGCACAAGGCTCAGCTCCTGTGCCCTCTGCTGCTGCCCAGTCTGACCGAGTGCTGACCAACCCGCTCCACTTGCCAAAAGTTCAGTGCTGGGGAAAGGTAAGGACCATTGATTAATGTTTGCTGGACAACTCTTATGCCTGTCCCATGTGGATAGGAGAAATATTCTTCCTCTCTCCTGCCCTTCGTATTGGAGCCACTCTTTATTCAGCAGATTTCTCGGGAGAAATCTGGGAAGAGGGAGTGTGTCTTCCAGAGATGTGAGCTGAATAACAATCACAAAATCCCCCCCTTGCATCAACTTCTGCTCCTGCTCCTGCTGTTCCATATTCTTTGTGGCAGAAACATTGGAAACAGATTTTCTGTGTGCAGAAAAAAGAAAAACTGAACAGGCATCAAGATTCCAAGTAACAGAACACATTTTTCTTGCACAGATAATGTTTCTGATGTCGTTAATGAACACCCAGATTTCCCTGAAACTTCTAACCATCGCAGAATTTTTGTGATAATTTTTGCATTAGGCTTCTGGTGGGCTCAGGCTCTTGGAATTATGTTTGAGCTTCCTTAGCTTTCAGCACCATTAAGCATATTTTAAAAACACATTAAAAGGAATATGTCAACTTGGTTTAGGCTGAAACTTGGATTGGGAAAGAAAATAAGTAAAAAGAAAATTTCACAAAATACAAATGAAGTGGGAGTGTTTTCATTAAAGGAAAAAAATACAAAATACAAATGAAGTGGGAGTGTTTTCATTAAAGGAAAAAAATAAAGAAAACATTATTCCAAAATAATTTATTTTCTTTCTCTCTTTTTTTTTTTTTTTTCCTATAGACAGGGCAACTCAAACACACGAACTTTGTGCTGGTGAGTGAGGAAAATTAAGTGACCAGAACCCAAACTTCTCCAGGGGATGTGAAACAAAAGTGCTTGGTTTTGGGAAACAAAGTGAAACAGGAACACCAAATGCAAAAATATGTTAAATAGCACCAGAAGCATCTGCAAGTTTAAACAGAAACATGTAATTAAAACATGGATTGTTTCCCTGAAGACAATGTAGAAATTTTCCCTTTTATTTTGGAGTTTCCATAATTTAAAAGAACAGACTTTTCCCAAACTCCAGCCCCTAATTTTCAATCTCCAGGGACCATTATTGAAAAGCCCAAATTCTCAGCTCAGAAGTTTGTTAAAACAAGGCTTGGCTCCTTTTTCTGCCCTTTGTTTCTCTGAAGAGTCTTGCGTGCGTTGCTTAGAAGAAGGAGGTACACGAGTTGGGAAACCTGGATACATCTGGGCCACTCTTGGGACAGTGTGATGTCTAATGTGGTTGGGGTTGTCCTCCCACCAGGTGCTTCCCCACTGAGCTCTCCTCTGTCAGAAAGCTTTTATGTAAAAGGCCATGTGTTTTTCATGGCTCCTTTTTGTAATTGGTAATCGTGACAGAAGAAGGGGCAATGCTAATGACATTAATAATGGCACAAAATCTCCAAGAAGGCATTTAGAAGCCTTGCAGCATAATCATAGAAGCACAGATTGGTTTGGATTGGAAGGGAAAGACCACCCAGCTCTAACCCTCTGCTGTGAGCAGGGACACCTTCCACAAGACCAGGGTTTTCCAAGCTCCCTGGACTTGAATACTTCCAGGGATAATGAGCCCGTGCCCTCTTAAAGGCAAATTCTCCTTGAAAACTGTGATGTGCCTTTGTGTGATTGCCCTTTACCTGAGTTTTTCTTTGAGTCTAGCAGCAGCTAATGTAATAATCAACAAAAATGTGCAGTGTTGCTCCACTCTCCATAATGCCACTGTTTTTCTGTCACCTTCAACACCAGCCAGACCTTCCTTGTGGACTACTGTGTAAAGCAGAAAGGCAAGATGGGGTCATCCAGCCCAACCAGTGCTTTTCATTTGCCTCTGATATTTGTAATGGGTGCAGTCAACCCCTCCTGTTTGCTGCCCTTGTATGTAGCTTAATATGGAAAACAAAACATGGGCTGCTGAGCTGTGTGTGCTACCATGTATGGGGAAAAGGACTTGCCCAAAGCAGAGGCATAAATTCTGCTTTCTACTTATGTGAAGAATAAAATGATAATATGAATCTCTGTCCTCTCCTTGTTTGGGTCAACAGTGTAGGAATGCCTGGTTATGAATAGGAGAAAATGTGCTTTTAGGCAGATAAGGAGAACAGCCGTTTACACTGATTTAGGCGAACAGCAACTTTTTCCAGGCAGAAGACTCTGAAGCTGGAAAATCACATTGAAAGTATCAGAAATGGAAGAAAATAATAACTTAAAATAAGGCAATATCTTTCAGACCTCTAATTTTTTTTTCTTATGCATATATCTATGCATTCATCAAATAATAGAAATTCCAGTTAAGTTTTAATATTTTATTATTGTTAATATAATAGTCAAAATATAACAATAAAAGTACAATACAATATAATTAATGTAATATATGTTTCACATATAGTAATTACTTGTCTATAGTATGTGGTTTGTTATAACAATATATCACACATTAATATATGAATATACATATTATCGGACTTTAGATAATTAATAATATACATGCTAATGCTGCTGGAAAAAGCTCATGCTGGCAAAAAACCACCATAATAATGTTGGAAGATGACTCAGAATTAGCACAAAATGGTTTTGCTAAGCTCTGTTTAGAAACTTGGCATGACCAGGGCAGACATTTTAAATCAGCAGGATGGGAATAACTGGAAGTAGGAACACTGATCATGGTACTGCTTGGCTGAATTTCTATGTGCACCCTTCCTCAATCCTCACAAGAGGAGCCCAGGGTGGATGGGGACCCTGGATGGCTCAGTCAGAAGGATGGATCAGTGTGGATGGGTGCTGCTGCTATTTCCCAGTTTGCTTTTGAATTTTGAAATGTCCTTTCCTGTATTTTAAAGCCCTGGTTATAAGAAAAAGAGAACTCTTCCCTTCCAGTGATGCCCTCACCAAGGGAGGGGAGAATGATCCCTCAGCCTGGCGGGGCAGCTCCAGGTCCACACACTCTTCTTGAGGGGCCAAGAAATGCAATCTTATAAAAAGCTGAGGTATTTTCCTAAAGATAAGAAAATCATGTCTTCATAGTTACGATCATGGAATTTTATTTTAGTAGTTTAAATAGCTTGATCTGAATTTTTATCCAAATAATTATTCTGGTATATAAATCTGCCTGTCAAGCTGCACCCAAGGGGAGGGGTTTTGTATGAAGCTACCACATTAGAAACCTTCTCCCTTGGGGTAAAGAACTTAAAAAGTCCCTTGTGTTTACACAACAGACCTAAAAGCTCCAAGGGGGACTTGAGAGGTGATCAGGAGTGTGCTTTCTGCTGCAAAAGCTCCCTCAGTATGTGTTTACCCAATCCAGGCTTTGAGCACCACTCAGGTGCTGCCTGTGGCCAGCCCAGTGGAAGGTGCCCCTGCCCATGGCAGCGGGGTTGAAATGAGATGACTTTTAAGGTCCTCTGAATCCAAAGCATTTTATGATTTTATTATTCTAATTCTATGGCTGTGCTGGACCTGGCTATTGCAGCTCCCAAATCCCTGCAGTGCCAGCAGTGGGTAGCTTCACCAGCCAAAGAGGTTTGGAGACTTTTTCCCATTTCCACATCTAACCTCACTAGAGATGGATCCTGAAAGATTTATATTGGGAAGAATTTGTCTTCAACCTTTAAAAGTGGCTTTCTTTGGTAAATCCCAGTATTTTTAAGATCTGGAGTAATTTCCTATTCTGGGGCTGGTTTTCTCTCAGAAATGTCCCAGGAAAGACTTTATGGTTGGATTTGGACACAAGCCTTCAAATCAGAAGTATAGGGAATTTTAGCCTGTTTGTGTGAGTGCAAAGGGTGCAACTGTTTGGTTAGGGGCAAATCCAGCTCTTTGGTCACACAGGGAAAGGTTTCTGTTCATGGTCCCTTAGAGAGGAAAAGCGTGGGCAGCACCTTGTGAGCCACTAGGGAAGATGCTGAACTGAGATGACAAACTTTGGTGAAGTGATAGTGAATGTCCACCTGTATCATATACAAATATAACAGACATCCAGATCATACAGAAATTAATTTTCAACTAATTTCCAACTTTTGTCCAAGCTTGTTCTGTGGAACTAAAACCCAAACTGAGTTAACACCTCAGACTATAAAATAATCTCTGGTATGACCTTTACTGAGGACGCAGTTCTCTGGGAAAAGATGTATTCAGCAGCCAAGTGGTTAAATCAAAATAACAAGGGCTATTTATCTAGTAGCTTTCCATGGCTATACTCAAGGGGGGACATATCTACCTATTTGTCAAGTCATTGACAATAGCCTATTTCTTTCTTCCTACCCATATGCTTTATTAAAGAAACACTTGACCTACCTGTCACATCAAACTGCTTCCTTTATCCAAAACAGAATAATATAGACATTTCCCTTAAGGGAATCCTGATGCAAATATATAAGGACAGGTTGCCAATTTGTTGAGCGTATTAGGGTACAGAAAACTGTCAAGGGAAACAGCTGTAATACAGAATGTTCTAACAAGCTCATTTTTCTTTTTTTTCTGTGGTACTTTTGGTCTCTCTTTAGTTTATATTATACGATTTGTATGTTACAATTTTTATGGACAGCTGTCAACTGCAACTCTTCTTTTTCATTTTGAAAAAAAAAAAAGGAAACCTTCAGATTCCTGGCCAAGTCTCAGATCTATTGTTTGGTCTTTCACAATAACTCTTAAAAAGCTTTCAGCTGCATATAGCTGAGAAGAAAGTTATGGGATAGAGGATGGGAAAAACAGTACAGGTGTTTAAAGACAGAGAAGGTTCTGACTGTGATTTGAGAGGTATGTATTTTCATGTGAAGCCACTTAAACAAAAGATGACACTTCCCATTCTCACCTGTCTGCTGTGCTGCAGAAAGGACTCTGTCTTGCCCTGGATGAGTGTTTTGGTTTCAAATATGAAACGACACAGAAAGGTTCAAATGTGGCATTTTGCACAAACAAGCTTTGCTGTGGCTGAGGATAGGGAATGAGAGCCAAACTGCAGGAATTCAGACTTCCCAGTGGTATGGTGATCAAACCAGAGCCATTCAGTCCCCAGCACTGGTTTTAGTTCACAGGTCCAAAACATTCCCAGCTTTCCAGCAAGGTGTTTGGTGATGTTGTAGTTTCCAAGTGAAATCCATAATTTTCAGCAACTTGAATATCCTGAGACCAGAAAAGATTAAGAGTCAAATCCATATAATGAGAGGTCTGTGTTGACTAGTGGACAAGGCACAGGCTGTGCTACAGGAACAAAGTACAGTTCTTTGTACGAAGTAAAGATCTGCTCCACTTTGACTGTAGTTCCACTGAAATCAGGGGGGTTACCCAAAGAGTAATTAGTCAATTTATGCTTGTTTGCATAAAGGATGACACAGATCATCAGCTAAATGAACAAAAGTTCAAGCAGTGCAAGTCAGGGCAAGAGGGGAGAGAATTAACCATGTCTGGGCCGAGGTCACAGGTTGGGCTGATCCCCTTGCTGTGCCAGAGCACCACGCCTGCCGTGTGCCTCTAACCAGTGACCTGTGATGAGAGGCCACCACGGGCTTTGGCATCTCTAATAAAAGTCAGATCACCCGAAGAAAATGTCTCTAAAGGGTCATACAAATATTTGTGTAGAGAAGAAAAGGAGTGCTGGGATCACCACGTGAAAGGCTGTGCAGCAATGATCTGGTATTTCCCCTTGGTCTGAACTTCTGCCCTGTTCCTGCTCCCTGTGTCTCACAACTGCCCTGGGCTCCTCTTCTCAGAGGTGTGAAAAAGTGAATCCTGATGCTATCTTTTAATGTGGGAGCACTCAAGTGAAGATCAAGAGCAGTAGGTGGCATCCTGGTCATGCTGAAATCCAGTGGAGCTGTCTCATGACCCTTTTCAGGGCAAGGAGCTCACAGAGATGTCAAATATTGGCACTGGTGTGGCTGCTGTGGGCTGAGCTGAAAGTGGCTTTAGGGAAAACTTTGCTGGCACGTGGCTTATGAAGAGACTGGAAGTGTGTGATTGTAGGATATATGTAGGGATGAGGAGAAGGTCCTGAAAGCAGATCTGTAGCACTGACTCTGACTTTAGAAAAGGACTGGATAGTTTGAAGTCATTAATAGACTTTCCATAGGAGATTATCCTGACCATTTCCTTGGAATACTGTGGAAAAATAGGGAGAGCGACCATCAGACATATATTTTTTTGTTCTGGCATTGTAAATACACCAATGTTTGCTCACCAGCTGACCTTTTTCTAAAAGAAATTAAAACATTGCCTAAATTTTTGTACAAGTTTTGAATCTCCAATGCATTTTCTGTGGCCAAACTGTAGCTCATACACAGAGAGCCTATCATTTATGATCCCATTTATTACTGGGACTATAGCAGAGCCAGCATCTTCTCCTCTTTCACTCCCACTGACACACTTGATGACACTTAATGATCTCTTGTCTAAATAGCAATGTGCTTGACAAAAGACTTTATTACCCAGGGGGGTGGTGTGGAAGTGAATGTGTTATTGGTCATGGTGTATTTGGTAAATCCAAACCCCTCAGTGCAGCCTGGTGTCTGCAGAGCTCTGGGTTACACCATGTCCCAAAACTGGGGAGGCAGTAGGACAAGCTGGGGCAGCCCCAGTGAGGACAGCAGCCTGCAGCACATCCTCCTGGGTACCAGCACCACCAGGAGCAATTAGACATTGATTAAATGCTGTCCCAGGAGCTGCTCACTTGTCATGTGAGTCGCCAGTGGGCCAGAGCCCCTGGAACAAACCCACCCTAGGTTCCAGCAAGGATCTGAGTCACGGGTCCTGGGGAGCAACTGTTAATTAGGATTTGACAACTGTTTCCTGGGGGGAAGTTTGGAAAACAAATATGTCTTAATCTTTCTTTTGAAAAGACACATCTTGCCAACAGAGAGGATTTTAAAAATCTTTTTTGCAAAGGGCGTCCAGGTATGAATCCTGAAATGTTCAGGCAACATTGGTGAAAACAGATTGATTTGGGGATTTTGTATTATGTAGAGAAGGAATTCAAATATTGCAGCATCCTCAGAAAAATTCCACCAGATG